GTGCAGGTTTCAATACCTGCATTTTCCCCACCTTTGTTGGCAAGAGTTGTCCCTCTTCACTCGGAGGGATCCATCTGCCAAAAAAAAAACAAAATCACGGTCACTATAATGACCGTGAGAACCACTCATGTTAGTACGCGATGACCAGACTTCCTGCAAATAAATTGATTACCACGTGGCCCGTTTTAACTAAATTTTTGTAGAGTTATCTTCATAAAATCTAGTTTTACAATACTATATACACTTAAATGTGCAGGTTTCAATACCTGCATTTTCCCCATCTTTGTTGGCAATAACTCTTCCCCTTCACTCGGACGGATACATCATCCCAGAATAAATAAAATCACGGTCACTATAATGACCGTGAAAACCAATCATGTTAGTACGCGATGACCATACGATTGGGGCATCTTTCCCTCTTCTAGCCACAATTCTGCAAATAAATAGAATAGAAAGAAAGACCTCACGTGACAGCTCTTTATCCTCAGATTTCAATTTGCAATAAACGATTACCACGTGGCCAGTTTTAACGCCGCACATGCTTCATTAACACTAATTCAATAATCCGGGACTGTGACACCCATATGCGGACAAATCTGAAATTGCTTAAACATTATGTTGATAGTGGACTTGAGTAATTCAACCAGCTTAAATAGCAGATCTGGGGATTTTACTCTAACTCATAACGTTTTAATTGCTTGCTTAATCTATATCTGTTAACCTTGATTTGACATGTGCTTCGATATTATACGACATATTTCACATCGACTATGTCCATTTTTTCCGTCACGTTTGTTTTAACCATTTAACCATCAGTACAGAAATTTTACTACACCTCTAATTAGCTAAAACTAATACTCCATGAAAGAATGAGAATTTCTATTTTTCTATACGAAATTTTTCTAACCTCTGCCATTATCAAAACCAGTCACAGTCCCAGTCACGTTTCTTGATTACCTGAAAAGACAAAATTAATCCAACTACAATATTACAAAAAGCCAGACCACATCTTCTGAACAAGGAACAAAATTCTGCCAACTAAAAAATGTCTACAACAAAGACTCAGTCAAACGCACAACCGACCAACAAGCCCTACCTAAAGTAATACTGACATTATCATCCGTCCATTTGTAAGCAGTTAGCGGTACATCACTATTTCAGGTGCTCAACGATACTTGGCAGTGAAATCAATTAGACACGATATGCAATAAGGTTGTACAAGTGGAAAGGAGCGTTTTTATTAATTATATATTTACTTGTTATCAATTAAATAAGTATGAGGATTTGTAAATCTTTAGTGTAATGGTATCGGTGGTTAAAATAATTAAAAAGGGATGTGTCATTTAGGATTGAATTATTCATAGTAATAACAATATAACGTTGTTCTACGCTAAATTATTTGGTGTTATATGTGAATACCGCGCGGTTATTCTTATTAAAGATATGAGTAGCAAATCTCAAGAAGAGCATCTTTATGAACTGATAAATAAAGGGAATTGATTCTAATTTTGTGTGTTTTCATCCATGTTCATATTACTTTGTTTCAGGACATCTGTAATATATTTATAATACTGTAGCGGTAATTGTGGAAAACCCTCGCTTGTCTGTTCTATCATTTTTAGTCACTAAAATGATTCATATGCGTGGTCCAGGACATGAGCCTTATATGCAACTCAATCGAATTCAGTTGAGATGTTATCTACCGCATGAAATCGAACAAATCAGTGTTGTTAGAATCACGGAGACGGAAACATTTGATGGAGTTCGTTTTTCAATATAGTTTGATAAGTAACGATCGCGTAAATTTACTTAATGCTGTTGTAAGATAAAGTTATCAGAGAAAATTATAGTAATTGGGGGTTCTTTAGTCATTTGAGCCTATGGTTTTTCAAAACATCATGGTCATGGATGTCTATGTAACCGTATGCCGTTCGTGTGAATTCTTTACTAGACACAAGTTGAGGGATTAATAATTAGAGAAGTGATAGATATTACTTTACAAAAAGCATTGTAATTCAGATACTAATATGATGATTGGGCAGCAGTCAAAACTAGCACTTTCTTTTATTTTCAAGCTTCATCACTTATTCACTCAGCATGAATTTTGATAAGCCCTATGAGATTTCTGAAAGTGAATATCTCTGTAAGGAGTCATTATGAATAAATGACTAGATTTTTCAGTCGATGTTGACGCATTGATTGGTACTTGATTTGAATTTTATAGTATTTTGTGATCCTAGACTATTTGTTAATGTAAAATCAAAAAAGGAAAAATTAGCCAGATGTATTTTGTTTGCTGTTTGTATGATAATTGAAATCTTTAAATTATTACTATCAATAAGGCAACTTGAGTGTAAGTTTTGTGTTCTTATATCTATTTTTGTTATTTCAAAGCAAATTAATTAAAGTCCAGTACAGCAGTTAAACCTTCTGACACTTCGCTTTTTTTGTAATATGTAGTCAATCTTTCAGGCTGGGCATCCAGTCAAAGGAGGTCTTTATGATCCTCGATTAGGTCCGTTGGAAATGTATGACACTTGCGAAACATGTCATCTACAAGGAATTCATTGCCCTGGACATATGGGTCATATTGTGCTAGATGTCCCAGTATTTAATCCTTTTTTATTTCCTTTTACTTTCTCCGTAAGTTAATAGATATTTTTTATGAAAGATTGAACTTATGTGTAATGAAGTTTTTAAACTTATGACAGATAGAGTTATTGAGGAATTAATAGCTTATTTTCAGTTTTAGTGTTGATTGAGTGTAATGCATTTAGAACATTCAATTATTGAGCTATGAAAATTTTTAGTTCGAAAACCTAGCGATCTATATGTATTTTACGAACATTTTATCATGGATTTGTTTTAGTTATTGAAAGGAACATGTGTGCAATGTCATCGACTAACGTGTGATTCTTCTGGTTTAGAGTCCAATTTGCTGTTGGCTCAACTTCGGGCACTGGACCTTGGTCTTGTCTCAGTTGCTCAGGAGCTAGAGGGTTTTGTTAAAGATCGTTTTATTACTTCAAAGAGTTTTGAAGAAATCAGTGGTAAATATTTAAATCTTATAGTATTCAATAAGTTGCTTTGTGTGACTCAGCTGATATAATTTTTTATTTTGCTGTTGTGCTTCAATGTAAATCATGGAGAGGATTCTATATAAGGATCAAGATTACGCTAGTTATCATGAAGGCATATGTTTATGATGTAGTGCCATTAAATACATGGTTTCATAATCACACTAAAAATGCCAATAAACGCATCTTGTTTAACGATCGTAATCTTTGATAATGTTTTGCAATCAGAGTTATCGTTTAAACAGGAGGTTTATAGTAATTTATATTTGTATTCTTGCATTTAACAAAGTTTTTTAGAAACTCCTTTTCTGGATGAAACTCATGTGTGTAAAGAGCTAGAGGATTTTTTTGCCAATGTAGACCTGCATACCGCTTCAAATGTTGATAAGACTCACTCAGCTCCAGTCAAAAATGCTCTCGAGTTGAAGATATCTTTAATGCAGAATTTTTGCAAAAATGTGCTTGTGAGTTATAAGATTTTCCTCAATACTTATATGTTTCTTATATTAGAGTCATATTTATCTTCTATTGAAAGTTTAACTTTGTTTTTGCATATGTTAAACTTGCTGCTTTATTTTTCTAAGCTCTGCTATGAGTTTTGTTTTTTATTTCTAATAAGGCGCAGTTTTTATGGCTCCAGTTCAAACGTCGGCAGCGGTGTAAGCTTTGTAAGAAAAGTAATGGTGTTATGCGTAATGATGGTGGTCGTTGTGTTCTGATTGATTTCAGTAGAACGGCAACTATAAAAAAATTAAAGAAATCATCTCATGTGCTTGAAAGTATCGAAAATTTTGAAGATCAAGAGGTGGATGCGGGTATTACCTCTTAAATTAAATATGTTTGAATACTTTAAACTGACATTTCTTTTTTAGTTTAGCAGGAAAATAAAATCGGTTGTATCTATGCATGTTTGCACAACCCATCAAGTCTCTTCGCATCTTTTTTCAGATGATGATGGGAAAAATGATGAAGAAAAATTAGATAGTAAAAATATTAATTATGGATCATTTATGAATCCCGCAGAGCAAATTATGCGAGAGCAAATGCAGAGCATAGCTAATGGGAGTTGTGACAAGCTGGCTTGGAGAGGTGCAGAAGTGCGCGAGCATTTTCGTATACTTTGGCATAATGATGGACCTTTTTTGAAGAAAGTATTTCCTATGTTCGATTGTGAGGTGGGTTATTTTATAATTTTTTTAAATTGGTATGTATTATTTTTATTTCTTAACGATTTTTTTTCATCACAAAGTCATGAATATAGTCTTTGCACCCATTACGATTGTAACTTTTTCTTATTTTTTGACTTTGTAGCTCTAGTGCCATGAATAATTTTAAATATTTTGTGGAAAGCCTCATGAAAAAGGGTTTGCTACTTTTTTGTTTTTATTGTCTCATATGTCTTTCCTGAAACTTTTTTTTTCCAGGATGACAAGTATTGTCCTTTAGATGTTCTATTTTGTCAGTCCGTATTAGTTCAGCCAACAAAATATCGGCCGATTCGGCTTTACCAAGGAAGCAATTTTGAAAATCCTCAAACTGTAAATCTGCGAAAATTGTTGGAAGCCTCGGAAACAATTCGTGCTATTCGTCAAACTTTATCTGGCAACAAAGAAAAATCTCTTTTGGTACAAATATACTTGTATTAGTCTCCTTTCTTCAACTTGATATGCCCTCATTTTTAGGTATAATATATACTTTTCGACATGACTATGGTTTTTCTAGGCTTTATTGTCGAAAAATGTTGCTGGGCAAACAATGGAGGCCAAAATGCACAGTGCGTATCTTGTATTACAGCTGCGCATGAGCGCTATTTTTGATCAAGAATTGGACAAATATACTGAAATTAAGTTGCAAGTTCCTGGTATCAAGCAAATTTTGGAAAAAAAAGAAGTTTGTAAACCTGTAAAATCATTTTGTGTGTTTATAAAATCAGTCAGATATTATTCAAGCATTAGCTACAGGGTTTCTTGATTTGTGTCTTTATTTTTTTTTAATTAATTATTGTTAGATTTTTTTTTATTATTATTGTTAGGTATTTCTTTGATTAGTTATATGATAAAGATGGTCTTTTTGTTATCATCATGTACATCTTTTTTCAGGGTTTATTTCGTATGAACATGATGGGCAAACGTGTCAATTTTGCTTGTCGTTCTGTGATTACTCCAGACCCTTATCTAGATGTTGATGAAATCGGCGTGCCAGAACTTTTCGCTAAAAAACTAACAGTTACTGAGACAGCAAATGCTATGAATATAAAAAGATTGCGAAAATTGATTGAAAATGGTCCTAACTTTCACCCTGGGTATGAAATTTATCTATTCATAATTTATATAAGTTGTTATATTCTTCATATGCATAAAAGATTATTTTTTTAAGTATATTGGATATTTCCAGCGCTAACTTCATTAAGAAAATGGGTAAGCAAACCCAGATTTTATTGGAAAATAAAGCAGATGAGCGTAGAGCTGCTGCCAAACGTCTCCAACCGGGAAACAGCTCTCGTCTTGGTTATCCTGTTCAGGTATTCGTGTAAAGTGCTGAAGTGTGTAAAAGATCAGGCATTTTCCATTCAAATTTTGTAGTAAAAATTTGAAAAATAGCAGCTAATAAAAATGGCTTACCGTCATCATCACTTTTAGGTACTTCGTCATTTAGATAAAGGTGACTTAATGTTGATGAATCGCCAACCATCTCTTCATAAACCCTCAATGATGGGTCACAGAATTAGAGTTCTTAAAAGCCAACGGTCACTGCGCATGAATTATGCTCCATGTAAAGCTTATAATGCGGATTTTGATGGAGATGAAATGAATGGGCACTTTGTTCAGAGTCGAATTGCTCAAACTGAACTTGCTGAAATAGGTTTTTTTTAGTGAGAGTTTACTATGAATTTCAAATTAGGAATGTTTATTTCTTTTTCATATTTGTTTCAAGATATAGAAAAGTAGTCTGATGTCTATTAAAAAAGTTGCAATCTTCCGATTTTTTTAAACATTGCTTTCCATTAGCTTTGATTTATGTGTGGTATCAGCAGTGTTTTTCTTCGAATAGAATTCAGTAGACACAAATAAAAATATATTTAATCAAATGCAGTTAATAAGTGGCTTCCTAAAATGAAAATTTCATAACAAGATCATGATCAAAGATACACAACCTCCCTTAAAAGTGATTGAATTGCGTGAATACAGCAATGAACGTACAAATAAAAATAAATCTTGTTATGAAATTTTCATTTTGGGTTACTACTTATTCACTGAATTTGGTTGTGTTTTTTTACTTCATTTTTTAAATATGATTATGGTTTAGCCAATGTTGGATCAAATTTCCTTGTACCAAAAGATGGCACACCATTGTTGGGCTTAATTCAAGATCATGTTGTGTCGGGCGTATTATTAACTATACGTGGACAATTCTTCAATAAAGAAGATTTTATGCATTTGGTACTTTCGGCATTTGCTGAAATCACTCAGCGGTTAATCATCCCGACTCCATCTATGATAAAACCTCAAGAACTGTGGAGTGGAAAACAGGTATCTCCTCATTTGTAAAGTATTAAGAATAATCTTTTAGAGCTCTTTGACAGCTTTGATAGAAATTTTACTGCGAACTGTGATATAGCTTTTCTAAGTTGTTAAATTTCTAAATCTCACTATGTGCATAAAGCAGTTCATGACCATTGTGTCACACTGCATCAATTTCAGATTATTAGTACGGTATTAAAAAATTGTATTCCTGCTGATAAACCTCTTTTGAATATAACCAGTAAGGCAAAAACACCGCTCTCATGTTGGAAAGTTGAGAATCATGCTACACCAAAGCTTGCAATGAGTGAATCAGAAGTAATTTTCAGGTACATAACTTAGTGATTCAAAATTTCTGTTGTTAATTTCGAGTATCTCTCTTTGTCTTTGGCAGCTTTATTGTTGAGATTGACATAGAATTTTGCTTGTGTTGCCATTAGAGTGAGTTGGCATAAGTTTGGATATTCGTCGTTTATTATTATTGTGCTTGCTTATTTTGTAGGTGAAATTTAATGTCGTAAATGTAACTGTTATTCATAAAACTCGCCAATTTACTTAATACCAATTGCATTTATTAATCATATGTCCAAAATTCATTTGCTTTGTAATGCTACATATATATGATCTTGCATGTTATCAAATTATGTTCAAATCTAAAATTTTTAGAAATGCTGAATTATTGGTAGGAGTGTTAGATAAGCAGCATTACGGAAGTACGCGGTATGGATTGATACATTGTTGCTGGGATTTGTATGGTCATCGATTTGCGACGAAAATATTGAGTTGCTTCTCACGTCTTTTCACTACCTATCTGCAGGTGCTTACTTTTTTGTATCCCAGATTATTTTTGCATATATCATCGAAAACCTGGAACTTTCCTCAATTTTTGTTGTGTTTGAAGGATTTTTACATTTTTTGATCGTGTTGTTAAATTTTAGTTTCATGGATTCAGTCTTGGTGTAGCAGATATTCTCGTTCGAAAAGAAGCAGATGAAGTAAGAAAAAGAGAAATTGAGGCCTTACGCAAATGCGGTTTGAATTTTAAAAATCTTAGTACTTTAGGTTTTGTTGTCATTTCTAATTAAGTCTAACAATTTAAGCATGAAGCTCTAGAAATGAAATGATGGGTTCAGGTGATGATGTGGTTAAGGAATGCTTCGACTTAGATAAGGATGCAAGTCAGTCGGATATTAAATATGTCATGGCAAGTGCATATTGTAATCCAAAAGGTGAACAAAATCATGTCCAACTGTTGGATTATAAAATGAAAGAAACATTGAATAAATTCAATGAAAAAATAAATAGGTACTGTTTGTCACCTATCTGTTTTCCTGATTTTCAATCTTTTGTAAAAAGATTAATGTAATTAATTCCATCTGCAACTGGTTTTTTGTGAGTCTAATTTTTATAAACGATTACAGTGCTTGTATTCCAACAGGGCTCATAAAGTTATTCCCTCACAATGCTTTGCAGTTGATGATACTAAGTGGTGCCAAAGGTACAATGGTCAATTCTGTTCAGGTAATTTGTTTACTGAATATAATCGTTGCTTCCATTTTTCATCATTTTGGGACAGCTCATAATTCTAGTCTCAAGGGTTTTCTTCTTTTGTAGCTGATGAACTCTGTTAAGATGTTTGATTTCAGATGATGTATTTTTTTTTCTATTTTGATAACTCTGAAGAATTTTGATTTCTGTTTTCAATTTATGCCAATGTGAAGTTTAAATTCAATTGCCAGTGTAAATGAAGTCATATTTTCCTAAAGTCAATTGTTGATTTTTAGAAAATTTGTCGCTGCAATCTTAGTATAAGCGCAGCTTAATGAACAAGAAAAACATTTATTATATCTGTTATTCTGTTAGATTTTTGTTTTATTTTTTTACCTGATTTAGTTTTAGATTAGCTGCGAATTAGGCCAAATTGAACTAGAGGGACATCGACCACCAATGACAATTACAGGGCGTACTTTGCCGTCTTTTCGCGCTTTCGATACATCACCTCGAGCTGGTGGATTTGTGGACCAGCGATTTTTGACAGGCATCAATCCACAGGAACTGTTTTTCCATACGATGGCTGGGCGAGAGGTTTAGCTCAGTTCTGTTGCCGAGTAGTTTTAATATATTCAAATAATAATAATGTAAAAATATCAACGATTACTTTCTTTAATTTATTGTTTGCTTTCTTTTACTTTTTATGCATGTATATTTTGTAGTGCAGAGCGCTTTTGAATTTTTTGTAAATTGTTTTTCATGAAAACAAGTTCTACATATTGTAAAAAAACATGGACGTTCCATTTTTTATGACGTGTCATGAAATGGACTAAGTCAATAGTTTTGACCCCATTATAAGTATTCATATGTTTCTGATGTTGAAATGTGCATAATTATCAGGGTTTAATCGATACTGCTGTGAAAACTTCTCGATCTGGTTATTTACAACGTTGTATTGTTAAACATTTGGAAGGACTAGTAACTCAGTATGATTCTACCGTTCGTGATCATGATGGCAGTGTCATTCAGGTAACAGCTTAGGCTCATCCATTTTCATTATCAGTAAGAAAAAAAAAAGCCGAAATTCTGTGATAACAAAGTGAAAATATTGAAATAAGCACTTTTCTAGACTTTCTGTTTTTGTAGTTTCGATATGGAGAAGATGGAATGGATGTTTGCAGAAGTACATTCCTGAATTTTAAGCAATTTGATTTTCTCTTCGATAACATACAATGTTTATGCTCTAGAGTAATGCCGACAGGATACGATGAAAGCATGTGGAATGTTAAAAAATGTGAAAAAGCATATAAAAAAGTAAGGATGTCGAGTTCTTGTTTTCATCGTTTGTTTACTTTATCATGTTGTAAGATTAAAACTGTCAGTCATCTCTTTTAGCAGCGTCAAGTATTCTCAAACGTGATTTTGAGTGATCCTTGACTTAGTGCTGTTCATTATAAAGAGTGTGTGTCTATTTTAGTTCAGTTTGTTAAATTTGGTTTTTTTGTCATAAGTTATCAGGCATCATATACAGTTGGTTCGAATGAGTTAATTTTAAATTTGTTTTTATTTTTTGAAGATTAAAAAATGGCGTCGAAAGTATGATTTAACCACAAAAAAAGCATATACAAGTGGTTTCGTAGAATTTTCAAAGAACTTTCGTGAAATGCCGAAAGAAAAAATTCAAAAGATGTGGTTCGATTTAACTGATGAGGAGCGTGACGATTATCACCGTAAAGCTGGTAAAGCTTGTCCTCCTTCCGTTGATGAGGTATTAAATAAAATCTGTAGATTGTGCTTTTTTTTCTGCTGTTAACTTTATTCTTATCCATGTTTGGTCTGACTGTGTGATTTTCAAAGTTCACGAACTTTCTATGCTTTTACGAACCAAGAGCTATGTTTTTCAGAAACTTAATCCAAACCGCTCTTTGGGAGCTTTACCGGAAAAACTTCTTGACGAAATAGATGAGTATATTTCTATGAACTCATCTGCTGCTGCCGGTACTGAATATGAGAAATTTCGAAAGTCTTTGTACTGGAAAGGTAATTTGCATATTTTGGTTTTAAAGACATAGATTGCGTGACTTGATTTGTCCAAGTTATGCTACCTAATACCAATAATTGTATTTGCTTGATTCTTTGCACTATTTTTTATTTCAATATCTCTTCGACTGGGAGTTACATATTCAAAGGTTTACACTGCCGAGTTGATCCTGGTGAGAATGTTGGTTTGTTAGCGGCTCAGTCCATAGGAGAACCATCCACACAAATGACTCTTAATACTTTTCATTTCGCTGGAAGAGGGGAAATGAACGTCACTTTGGGTATTCCTCGATTGCGCGAAATTTTAATGACTGCTAACAAAGATATAAAAACACCAAGTATGGAGGTAAATTCTAAATGAGTAGATAGAAAAATAAGTGAATATATATAATGTGCAGCAGTTCGGAGGCTAATATTTTTTATTGTGTACCTGATTCTCACGTTGGATCGTGTTCCCGCACTCTTGCTATACCTCCTACACACTAGTTCAAGTGCTTATATGTAAGCTTATGTATATAAGCACTCGAACTATATAAATCAGCCAATGTATATGAATCAGCAGAATATGTGTATATATAAAATGTCGAGGTTAGTTTTAATTTTCGCTTTATTGGTTTTGGCACTGTATCGCATTCCAGCACTCTGGCAGTATTTGTCCTACGCCCAGATTTGTTGTATTTCGCTCTCGCTTCGTCCTCATGGAATCCATATCGACTCTCGAAGGAGACACTTTCAAGCGTCTTTTTGAGAACTATGGACTGGATGTATGCCTCGACGTGGTCTGGTATATTAATCTCCGCATAGCGTTTGTAGGAATTCGTTACAATCCCATTCCAAGTTATCACATACGGAATTATTTTGGTCGTGCATTTCATCTCTGACCCAAGCTCATTAGCAAGTAGGTCATGATTTCTTTTTCTCGGTCTCGACTGCTGTTAACCTGTCCTGACTAGTGATGCCAACCTCAATCAGGATTACTTCACGTCGCTTCTTATTGTGTATCGTGATATGCGGTCGATCTGCTTTTATTCTGATTGCAGTTCTAACTCGCGTATCGATCCTGATCTCAACATTTTCATTCGCGACGACCTGCTGAACAGAATGGCTTCGTTAGCGCGGAAATGCTTTAAGACCATACTTCTTACAGAGTCCCATCGTAGGACCTCAATGTGTCTTCTAGTGTATGGTCGTAGTAATGTAACATTTTTTCGCATTGCGTTGCTACATGGTCCACCGTCTTCACACGTTCCCACAATGTTGTCACATACCTTTCTCACCTCCAAACATATTTCTATCTTGGGGATAACAGTATCGTAGCTCATTTTGTGGGGTAATGTTTCCGTATCACAGCCATTTTGATGAATCAACTATGAACGAGATTTTATTTGTCCGCATCTTGTATAGCTCCGCGTGGTAGGTTTCCTGTTCTATTTCGCTATACAAGAACGTCTTCTGAGCTACTTACACGTTTCCGACGGTAAGATTTTCTGCGAGATTGTACTTAGTCTTTAGATAGAACACAATAATTGTCAAGAACATGCTATGAGCTTTCTCCTGCTTCAGAATCGCTGCACTTCTGGTACAAATTGGTGCGGTATCTACAAGAACATTATGTAGCTGAAGAAGCATAAGCTCACTCTTCTTAACATTATGAAGTCCACGTCCTAGCTCGTCCCTTGGCACGTGCAGTCTTTCCAAGCATGCAGGTTGCTTGTGAATTCCGTATTTGAT